TTTTGAGACAGAATCTCGCTCTGCCACCCAGGCTGGAGTGCAGTGGCGCCATCTCAGCTGACTGCAACCTCCGCCTCCTGAGTTCAAGTGATTCTCCTGCCTCAGGCTCCTGAATAGCTGGGATTACACCAACACACCCAGATAATTTTTGTATATCAGTAGAGACGGGGTTTCAGCATGTTGGCCAGGCTGATCTCGAACTCCTGACCTCAAATGATCTGTCTGCCTTGGCCTCCCAAAGTGTTGAGATTACGGGTGTGAGCCATCACCCCTGGCCTGGAGGCTTCGTGTCTTTCTAAAGTGACTTAGGAAGCCCTGTAGCCCTACATCCTTATCAGGGACGTCTTCCTGTCTTTAGGGCACCGTGCTCTCCTGCTGTCCAAATCCCCAGAATGCAGTCCCCCAGAGGGCGAGTTCTGTTGTCATGCCCTGGTGTCCCGAGGCCGGTTGGGCAGCCCTATCTCAGGATGGAGGCCTGGTCTCAGGTGTCCAGTCTCTTTTCCCACACCTGGCTGATTTCCCTTTCTGGAGGTTCTGGGCACACACATGGCCTCTCCCCAAACCCTGACATCGAACACTTTGCCTGCACTCCCACGGGCTGGCATCTGAGACACGGCACAGATTGGGAGCTGCGGGGCTGCGGGGCTGCGGGGCTGCAGGGCTTGAGTGTTTCCCAGGGTGGGTGAGAATGGTCCAGTTACGTTGCAGACATGACCCCACCTCTCTCCCCTGTGCCGAAGCCTCCTAGGCAGGGACCCTGGGGATGGGGGTACAGGTTAGAAGGCCCCTCAACAACTCTACCTCTGGCCTGGGTCTCTGTAGGAGCCCAAGTCCTCGGGGCAGCTCATGGCTGAGTGGGGCCTGGATGACGTGGACTACCTGTTCTCGGAGGAGGACTACCACACGCTGACCAACTACAAGGCCTTCAGCCAGTTCCTCAGGTGGGCCGGGCACCAGGGCTGTTCTCAAGGTCGGCGCATCCTCTGGTGGTACCAAGTTGGGAGGGAGGTGGAGGAATGAAGCCCAGGTGTCTGTGGTAGGGGTGGGCTCTGTCAGGCCGACTCAGCAACCTGGGGGAGCTGGAGGGAGGGGGCAGGACCCCTTCATGTTAACGGACCTCCAGGCCTTCCCTTGTGGGCCCTGCCCCTGGGCCCTCGAGTCTCTTCCCATTGGGGAAGGTGGTTCCAGTCTTTCCTGGGGGGTCTTTCACCACAATGGCCTCTCAGCTCTGGTAGAGGTGGGACAGAGACCCAGAGGCCAACTGTAGCCCCTCTGTGGCCCCCCAAGTCTTGCAGGGCCTGAAAACCCGATGAGAAAATCACCAACTGTGTGGACAGGCAGCGGGGGTGTTTTGGGGGCGGGCTGTGGGTGTGGACAGGAAGCGGGGGTGTTTTGGGGGCGGGCTGTGGGTGTGGGTGTGGACAGGAAGCGGGGGTGTTTTGGGTTTGGGGTGTGGGTGTGGGTGTGGACAGG